CTGGCAGTCCTAGTCAGCTGACGTGATCACTCCCAGTCATTCCCTTCCTTCTTGTAGCACCCATTCAGTCCTTTAGTGCTAAACTGGCAGACAACCAGAACAAGTGAAAATGTGGGGTGGATCAGACGTAATGTGAGCGAGTGCACCTGTTGCCTGCTTGTCGGCTTTGATGAAGCCAAGGCCTTGTGGACAAATGTGTCTCAAGGCTGCAGTAAAGAGGTGGAAGTGGGTGACACCGGCCCCACCTTATTCTCAGTGGTGCCGGCTTTACATTGGGCAAGATCAAGGAGTGGTGATTCTTGTCTGGCATTCCCTTCCCTCCCCTCCCCCCAGCGTCATGGCATTTTGTTCATGTTTCGTGATCCCCAGGAGGGGCTAGAGGAAGGGGACCTGACTTGGATGGCACAGGCAAGCCTGATGTCGTCAGGTCTCAGGAGCTGAGCAGGGTTGACCCTGGTCAGTATTTGGAGACCACCAATGAAGTCCAGGGTCCTTCACAGAGGCAGGCAATGGCAAAGCCACCTCTGAACATCTCTTGCCTTGCAAACCTTACGGGGTGGCCGGAAGTTGGCTGTGACTTGACAGCACCTTATGCACATGCAGAAGAAGAAGGAGAAGGCAGAGGTATCGCAAGCGGCTTCGGCTTCTAGTTCATACGTTCCCACCCAGTTAAAGAACACGTTTTTAGACTTCTGGATGTGTCTTAAGCTTTTGAGTTTGATTTTAATGCTGCCACTTCTATAGCATTTTACTGTGTTACGCTGGCTATGCCGCTCTGATATTTCTACTGCTGTAACACATTGTGGTTTTCTATTGCAAAACCACCTCAGCTGGAATTTAAAAGAGTCAGTATGTGGGTAATTTAGATAATAGAGTGTAATGTTGGAGCAAAACATGTTGTTTGTTCAGAAGGATGCTTTCCAGTACATATAGTCTGAAGATCAGTGGTATATCAATGGTAGTTACCTGGCAGCTCGCGGAGAGCCACAAAAGAGTAGCGTGACTCCTGGAGCACGGGCGGGCCTTCTCTCTCTGTCTTCTTCTGGGCATAGAGCAGGGGTCAGTGGGGGTGGGGGTGGGGAGGTATTTGTGAATTTCCTGCATTGTGCAGGGGGGTTGGACTGAATGACCCTGGAGGGCCCTTCCAACTGCATGATTCTTTGATTCCTGCTCTCTCCTCCACATGCGGCACAGCAAGGTCAGGTGAGAGGTTAAAGCGCTTAGGGCTCTTTAGCCTGGAGAAACGACGACTGAGGGGTGACATGATTGAGGTTTATAAGATTATGCATGGGAAAGAGCAGGTAGGGA